CTTGGTAATGGGTTCCTTTCTCCAAATCCTTCTTCTTCTCCTCACCATCTTGAGGCCTCCCGGTTTCTTCGTCCCTTTTTCGTTTCTCGGCTTCCTCTACCTCATCTTGTGCGCTGGCGCGCAGTAAGGCCTCCTTGTGTGAGGTCGAGGGCTTAAGTATGAATTCCGTGTACAACTCACCTGACCGCAGGGCATTTGTGAAGATAGCTACAACAGACTTGTCATCCAGATCCTCCACTTTAACCGACTCATCCCTCCAGCGGGTCAGAAAGTCAACCAGGGTCTCCTGGGAGCCCTGCTTGATTCCCAAGAGGTAAGAAACGTTCTTCTTGGAGCCCTTAGAGGTGGCAAAACGTGCCACGAATGCATGTGCTAATTCCCGGAAGTTTTTTATTCCCCCGTCTGGTAGGGAATCGTACCACTCCCGGGCTGGTCCGTTCAAAGTCACCGAGAATCCTCTACACTTGATGCCATCATCATATCCCATCATGACCATGTAAGCTACGTACCTGGACATATGGTGTTGGGGGTCGGTTCTTCCTTGGTAGGCTTCAATGTTGCATGGCCGGTACCCTTGTGGTAGCGGCGCGTCCATAATCTGATGTGTGAAAGGTTCGGGAATCTTCACACCATAGTTGAGACCGACTCTCCCTCCATCTCTCTTCTGAGCTCGTCTAGCCTCCTCCTGAGGTCGTCATTGCCATGACCTGCCCGAACAGGCAATGGGGATCGACGATCTCTTTGAGCCAACCTATTCGTGTTGATCTCGTACCGGAGATCACCCATATGCCTACCGTGGCGACGGGACGAAACAACGGCAGAGGAGGCCTTCTCACTGCGCCCGGGCCTGGAGGAGAGTCTCCCGTGGACAGAGACTCGGTGCTCACCTATTCGATTCGCCATAGGGATCCTTGGGGTTATTCTGGAGTTGTGGGAGCGCTGGGACCCAGCCGGCATGGCACCCCTAGGTTGTTGAGGGGATACTTCCCCCCTTGCTGAGCCGTAGCCGGAGCTTGATGGGAGGAGAGAGACCTCCCCGCAGGGTTAGGAAGACGGTAGTCAGGGTTTCTACTACTCTCTAAAATGTGGCCAAACATGTTAGGGCCTGCGTCGGGTCCACGTTGGGGATGTACTGTCCGGTGTCTGGCGTCTGAAAGTGTGGTGGCCGCACCGTCGTTCGCCTGGAGCTTCCTATGTCTTGGATTTTATTCCTTAAATCGCCTGGAGCGGCGACACTGTCGTTGCGCCTTCAGAAGTCGCTCCATCGTGACCTTGAACCTTCGTCCTCAATAATGACCCGATGGGAGCGGTCGATGCCCTGGTTACCGCCCATACGATTGTTACTAGTGGATCCAGCCATCGTTCTCTTGAGTTCAGCTCTCAATGAAAGCACCAAATGATGGAGTTAAATCCAACTATGAGAGCTAAATTCAACGAGATATTGAAATATAATGGCGTAAAGCAATGTAATTCTTATTCGAGAGAATGATTTTCCATCCCTCTCAGGGAGAGTTACAGGAATTATTTATAGGTTACAAGAATTGGTGTCCTAGAAGGAAACCACTGCTTTAAATGGTATTAATCACGGAACATATATTATTTCGAATAGAACTCATGTAGCATCTAGATCGTTATCCAATTATCGTCTCCTCCGAGCTTACATCTCTCGTTGAGTCCGGCCTGTTGTTGAATAGCTATGCTCAAATAATATCCTGCCACGTAAACCCTAGGAGCATCCTATCCTCGTTAGAACTCCGCCCAGACTTGAGGTCTGCTGTCCAGCCCGGCTTGGCTGCGGATTCCTATTGTGGGCCTAATCCCTAATTGGGCTTGGCGGCTTTGTTAACATAAACCCGCTTTAGGGATTGATCCCATCCATAGGTTAACCCCGTCAAGAGCTGACCCCGTTATGGGTTGGACTTTGCAACTGAGCCATGGTCAGGACCCATGGTACCATCAACGTTAATAAATAAAACATAGTTAAAGTAGATAATGTAAACAGTGTACAAATCCACATATTGCATTTATTTAAAATCGTATATATTAGTAATACTACTTATTTAAAATGGGACCCCATAAATAGTGGGCCCTGATCTTGGTAATACTACACATAACCTACTCCGTATTTAACTTGGTAATGGCCAGGCCGGTCCTCAACTACTTGCTATTTGTGACCTGTGAGTAATAAGATTAATAATGTTAATATCGTATGTGGAGAGTGGAAAATGGCTGTGAGATGATAAAAGACGGGGGAGGCCTTGTCACTGCACAGAACAAAAAGCTGTGCGAACTTGATTGATCCCACGAAGAATTAAAAGCGGAGCAATGAATGATAGGTAAAAAAGGGTAATTAATTGATGCATAAAGTTACCAAGAATCAGCAAAGTAATTAAAAGTTAATCTGTGTCCAAATACGTACTATACTATCGAGCGAGCATCTTTTGTGTTGCTTCATACCGACAGTACCCTTTACCTTTGGGTCCTCCACTTTTTCATAATCATGAATCATTACAATTTCTCTCGAAATGTTTTTGTTTTAGCTTAAATTTTAAATACCCGTAGCTAGCTAGCTAGCCCTAGGCTGTTTTCCAATTTTTTATCTTTCCATAACAACAAAAACTTGGAAAGAGACGTCACTACTCGCACGGTGGGATACCACTCACTTAATCACACTGCCACAATGGCATAATGAGTATGTACTACCAATCCACCGTACCTCATACCCGATTCTTTTACCATTTTTTACCTTTACATACCATATGATCAAAACTACACGGAGAACTACTAAATAAGCACTCGAACTTTTTGTAAAAAGTGTAAATAAGTCCTTTTATAGGATGTACCCTCGTCATTTGGGCGGTTTCCGGTGTAATTTTTTAATAATTTTTTTTGAGAATCTTCTTCATTAAGCCTAGTTTACTCATAGCAAATTTCAACTAAAAATGCAATCGGGAAGGCAGTTAAAAGAATTTTTGAAGATAACTACGCAGTTAGGCAGCGCAATATATTTCAGAAAATCATTTGACTACCTTCTCGATTGATTTTTTTAGTTGAAATTTGGTATGGGTAAACTAGAATTAATGAAGAAGATGCTCAAAAACTTCCATCAAAAAATTCCACCGTAAACCGCTCAAAATGGTGACAGCGGACAAAGCCTCCAGTAAAAGGGCTTATTTACACTTTTTATGAAAGTTCAAGGGCTTATTTGATAGTTCTCCCAAACTACACAGGTCTTTGTATTTTCTTTACATAGGATTCTGCAATACCTTTGTTATGTCTAGAATCCAGCTCAGGTCTCGTCAATTAACACCCACAAAGGATGAATTTCCACCACTATGATCACTATGAATTCGCCGGACGAATTGGCCGGAATAGCTAGTCGGTTGTTGCCCACAACCTTACCTTGTGATCATAGTGGTGGAAATTCATCCTTTGTGGGTGTTAATTGACGAGACCCGAGCTGGATTCTAGACATAACAACCTTCAAATTTGATTAACACAAGAAATGATAAAATAAAAATTATGTAGTTAAAAACTAGGTAAAAGGGGCAAATAAACCCTCGAACTAACCGAAAAAATGCAAATCGCCTCTTTCATAAGAGACTCTGCTCGGCCGTCGCCATTTGATGCGGTTCCCGGTGGAATTTTTTGATGAATTTTTTTGAACATCTTCTTCATTAAATCTAGTTTACCCATACCAAATTTCAGCTAAAAGTTCAATCGTGAAAAAAGTCAAATAAATGTTTGAAGATAACTCTGTGCAGTTAAACAACGCAGTATATTTCATAAAATCATTTGACTGCCTTCCCGGTTGAATTTTTACCTGAAATTTGGTATGAGTAAACTAGACTTAATGAAGAAGATGCTTAAAAAAATTCATCAAAAAATTCCACCGGTACCTGCCTCAAATGACGATGGCCTGACAGAACCTCTTATAAAAGGGGTTATTTGCAGTTTTTCGATTAGTTCGGGGGCTTATTTGCACCTTTCCTTAGGAACTATAACCAATTCTCTTACCATTTTTACCTTTAGATATCATAAGAGATATTGAGGTAGGTATGATTAAAACTACATAGGTGTATGAATTTTACAAACACCATAAATGATAAAATAAAAACTAGGTGGTATGTAGTTAATGTTTGTGTAAATGAAATATAAATTATTTGAACCACAAATTAATTAACACCGCATGCAATTGTTGTCTTCCCCTGACTTAGCTTCTCACCCCAAGGGTGCCACCAATCCACTTTGGCACCCTTGCATGTTTACCTATTCTTGGTTGGATTGTGCACAACATAAGAGTATATCAAAGATAAAGTAAGGCTCAGAAGTGAATGCAAGGGCTCTTGATTCAGCCGAATGTGAAAATGAAGAACAAGTGCTTCCTTAATCTATCCTTTCTTGGCAAACCTTAATACTTTGTTACGAATCGACTTGAAGAGTTATTCTAAGGGCGTGAAGGGTTTATATAGTTGTAGAAAACCATCAAAAATAGGTGTGGACACTAAAATTGGATTGGCCTTATTTGTAGTTTGGCCTTCAAAAATATTTTCAAATGATGCGTTATGGAAACATGATATGCATGGAAATTTTTGAGCTTGCTTGATCAATGACATAATCATGCTTTTTTCCTCTTTGTTCTTCATTCGATTCTTGTAAATCCTAGGATAAATAGATTGGGATTTTTCTGCACAAACTTAAAAAGGATATGATATCAGTAGCATTGAGTATATCATATCCTCAATTATTTATTGAGGATATGATACAAAGTATAATTTTTTGGATCAAGAGTATATTATTTATTAACAATCAAAACTCGATGGATTCATAGAGTTAGCACATCAAGGCTAACTCTTTTTGCTGATGAGTTTGGATTTCTATTCACATCCTCTTAGAGACTATATGAGAGCTTTCTTCTATTTTTGTAGATCATCAAAGGGAGCTCCAAGATTCTCGAAAGTGAAATCACATTCGGAAGAATAATAAGAGTTAGAACTTACATCATCATCAGCGTGAGCCATGCGGCACACATGGGCCAGATAACCATCACTGCCAATATGATGTTCATCAGAGATTAAATTATCACACGAAAATTGCATGTAGTCCTTGCTTTCTTCTCTCTTTTCTCGTCAGCTCCCCTCTTTCTCACTTGAGGAAAATCGAGCCTAAAGTTATAAGGTTCTCTACACTCGTAGAAAGTTTTTTATATTATTGGGGGTTCACTACAAAAAAAAACAGCTCGTTTGTCACGGATTTTTGTCACGGATTCCGTCCGTGACAAAATTGTCAGGTCTTTGTCAAGGTATTGTCACGGAAACTGTTGTCACGGATATTTCCGTGACAAAATCCGTGACAAAGTAGTCACAGACGGATTCCGTGACAAAAATCCATGACAAACGACCTCCGGTGACCGATAATTTACCGCATTTACCGCTGAAGGGTATCTAGAGAGAAGTCAGAACAAGTAAGAGAGAGAGTAGGTGTATATTAAATGAGCTCAAAAGTTCGATCTGGGATCCTCTACAATGAAGAATTGACTTGCTATTTATAGCAGCCATAAATGCTAGGTGTAATTAATGCGGGTACACGTGTCAAACGATCAACGGTGAAAGGTCGACTCAACCAGGGTGGCACCGGCATAGCATGTGGCACCACATTTAATGTGGTGGTTTGACGTGACACCGCATTTAATGCGGCGATCTGGAGCGTGCAAGGAGGAGATCTTGTCGGGGTAGTGCTGAAGGCCGTTCGTATCTGAAGGCCTTCATGTGTTGAAGGCCGTATGTAGCTGGGACCGTCATGTGCTGAAGGTCGTACGTACCCCGGGGGCCTTCATGTGCCGAAGGCCGTACGTCCCCGAGGACCGTCATGTGTCGAAGGTTGTACATATCGGGGTCTTCATGTGTCGAAGGACGTACGTACCAGGGCCCGACATGTACTGAAGGTTGTAGATACCGAAGGCTCGTAATTTTAGCCTTGATTCCCAGAATCCCAGTGATGTTTCTGGACCAGGTGTAACTGCTTCCCTAATATGAAGCCTTCGGGCATGGGGCCGAAGGCAACACCTTATTGTAGTATGGGCTGTCCGGAGTCTTGTTTGTTGTGTTTGGGCCTGTTGGGCATGTTCGTAGTAGTGGAAGTACGTGAGCCGGGGGTTACTGGGCCATATACTTCATCAAATTGTTTAAGGCATGCGAGTGTTGAGCCTTCGGACTTGGCGAATTTGAGGATATGGGTTTGGTGTCGAGACCCATAATTTTGTAAACATCCTATTTTAGAGCAATGAAAGCAAAAGTGAAGAAAAATGATGAGATGTTCACAATTTTGCAATTTATTATATCAATAATATCCAACTGACTGGTAAGTGGTACACGTTTTACAAGGATTATTAAATTTTTTGGAATGGAATCACCACTACAAATGGTGTAAGCAAGACATTGATAAAATTACAACACATACAATAATATAGGGAGGGGACATGAGCAGTTTGTTGAAGTGGTCTTCCAGCTAGAAAGATTTGATTTAAGTTTTACTTTGGCGTAGTCCCCATGACAGCAAAATCTAGTAAAACCACCACCCGCTTTATATAGGGTCACCTAAGCCTTTTTTGTCCAAATGCGTTCAGATGGAAAATTTTGAATCATGTCCTTTATTGGATCCTTGGCATCATATTAACCCCCTCCCCTTTTCTTTCAATTACCCCCACTCATGAGTTTTTTCTTTTTTCACCAACTACCCATCTCAATCTCATGGTGTTTTTGACCAGTCAGATTATGTCTTTCTTGGCTGCTTCTGCACACAAACGAATATGGGTTTTAATTTCTATCCCATCAATGTCACTCTTTGGTTGCGCAAAAATAAATTTACTCCGTCCCGTTGTCAAACAACTTCCCATTTTTCTTTTTTTACGAAGTCCCGAAATTAACTTCACACTTCTTCTTATTTCCTTATTTGACAAATTATCTACACCAAAACAGTGTCAAACAGTGCACTCCACAGTAAAGTCAAATTTATTTTCTTAATTTATGTGAAGTCAAAGTGTGAACCTCTATTCCTCCTCCCATGGCCGTCTCTAGTTGCAATTTTGCAAACTAGCAATGTCAATGTCCGCAAAAATGTTCCAATGTGATCACCGTCACTTCTGTATTACCGAATAAGAAAAGTAAAACCTATGTGGTTAAGATTCATATAAAAGGGCCAGAAATAAAATGAATAACAAATCTATTACCGAAAGCAATAAAGTTTTTTGGATAAACAAAGACAGAAAATTGGCAAAATGCTGCTGGCTGCTGGTGGTCAAGAATGCAACTAATTGAATGGCTATGATTGACGATGCACTTTACCTGCTACATATGATAAAGGATCTGCTTTTATGTATATACATTATGGTCAACCTCCACAAATTTCTTCTTCACAAATAAAAGCATGACACACAGAGAGAAACTGATCCCCTCTACTTAAACAGACAGGTTAAAGGATAATCTTTTTGTTGTTATTTGTGCAAGAAGAAATGATAAATTTCAGCATGGCTTTCATGTTATCAAACATAAAAGTCTCATATTTGAAATGAGAAATTCCAATGATGCCGTGCATTAGGTGGTAGTAAATAGAATTGGTAACTGGGACAAAGTCACTCATGCCTTCAGAATTCATGCCTCACTGTTTCATGTTATTATGTGAGACTTGAACGAAATATTTACACAACTTTATGACCAAAACACAAAGAATGCATGTAGGTAGTAAATAGGAAAAAGGAAAAAATGTGTGGACAAAAGAGAAGAGCCTTCCCTCCCTAACAATAGATATGAATCAATTCCAAACCAATAGTTAAGAATTATAAAAAGAAGAGGTTACAAAAAAAGAATCTGTCCCTGCTGCAACTTCACAGAAAATTCCAAGGGAATATCTCCCCCACTCTTTTCCCAGCCAACTAACCTAAAAATTTCTTCTCAACTTAACTTGAACAAAGAATATACTCCCTTGCTAATGAATAGGGAAACGGGGGAGGGGCAGAAGCAATCACAGGAGGCACTACAGAGAGGATGTATCAACAAAGACCTCATTGAGCACGTCATCATCATCATGTTCACCGTTTGCCAGCGAAAACAGCTCTGCATCCCTCTCCTCATTGGAACAATCCCGCCTTTCAAGCTTAGAGTGAGCAGCAATGAACGTTAGCTTCTGGGCTTTGTCCAACCCCGCTCTAGAATGCGACTGGGCCCCTACCCATCTCATGAAGGACCAGTTGCATTTGAATGCGCCACCACACGAGGTGGCATGGAGAAAGATGAGCCTGACTGCTACCTTCCCCAGCGACTTGAACCCTGTCAGGTACGTCTCCCAAACGAGCCTGGAACTTTGGGGATTCGCAAGCCTCATCTTCCCCGTGACCGGGTCCCTCTGTTTCAGCTGAACCGCTTGGGCGTAAACCGGTTCTAGCCCTTCAGTTCTCCACTTCATAAGCTCCATCAGCGCAATGTGAGCCTCCTCCCGAGGCACCAGCCGTGTGATCAGCCTGTCCACGTCCTTTTCCTGGTCTGGGGTCAAAAATTTGAAAGGCGGCAAGTACTTCCCGTTCGAGTCTCTGACCAAGTAGAGCGGGTCGAGTATGAATGCGGCAGCCCAAGCAGGATGGTAGTTTTTCTGGAACCTTCTTTCCACAAGCTTCTCTACCGGTCCTTCAGCAATGTGATACCTGGAACGCCACTCCTTTACTTTCGTCCTTAGCTCCTCCCAGAGAGGAAGGCATTGACCCACCCGTGGTTTCTCGGTCTCGATCTCCCGACCCATCATCCTGACCAATTTGACCAGCGAATGCACGGCCTCCAGCTCGTTCCAGAAATGCGGGCTCCGCATCATATCTTCAACCTCCCTGGCAAAACGCTCCTCTTCCAACACCACCACCTTGTACGCCTCATCCATCAACACCAAATGGAGTGCCCTTGCTGAGCTCAAAACGTCCTCAACCAAGGAGAAAACGGGTCCAAAATCCGAGCTCTCCAAGGGTACCCTTAACAAACCTGTGTAACCGTACTCTTGCAACTGGTACTTTTGGAACGTGTTTCGAATCTGGGACTTGTTGTTAACGAAATTCGCGAGGCGTGTACAGTTGTCCGAGACGTTCTTGAAGAAAGGGAGCTCCTTTACAAAATCTTTGATCAAACCATTGAATGCTTGAAACTGGCAAGAGATGTTGACCATCCATTGGTGCTGATTCTCTAGGTTTCTCAAGGCCTTTGACTTGAACTTGTCTGCAACTATACCTACACATTGGTGGGCACTGTTTGGACAGATTTCAGTGACTGTGTCCCATAAAACATCCTCTGCGTATTTAGAGGGAACGTATCCGGTCGTTAAAACAGTCTTCCTGAAAACACTGGTTCCGTTTGGGAGATTCACGTATAAACTCACCAAATTATCTTCCCCCAGATGCCCTACATTCTTCTTCTTCCCAACCCAACCGTCAGCTGCGACCTGAAAGAACATGGCTTCCCGGATTTTTGCCTCAGATTCTGCTTTGGCTTCCTCGTACTTGGTGTCTAATCTTGACCCGGCGAAATCTTTTCTTGAAATCTGGGGCAACCCGACTTGATTTAGGAACGCCCTGAATTTTGGGTGGTCCAGACTGGAGAAGGACACCGACCCGCAACATTCGTAGACCCAATCAGAGAGGAAATCGAAGGCGGAATCAATCTGGGATTTGCTTAGCGTTTGCCCGGGTGAGGCCTTCGGGCTCTTCAGCTTCTTCACACTGTCTTCTAGCATCGCCAGAGCTGCCAAATCCTCCTTTCCACCTGACAATACCATCTGCTGCGGCGGCTGCGGGTACATTCCGCCGCGGGAACCGGCTGCGGAAGCAACCGTTGTAGCCACGGACACAACTGGTGGTGGGTAAGACAACTCGGCCGCGAATCTGGACGGGTTAACAATAGCAAGAGGGCCGACTTGGTACCCCGCCGGACTAGCAGAGTTGCTCTCCGTGCGGCCTCCGCCTGCGGAGCTGCGTTTCCGGTGATTGTGGTGCGGCGCTTGCGGAGGTGGGAGGGACGAAATGGGTTTGACGATGGAGTTGAAATTGGGACAGGTCCCTCGCTTAAGATGCTCGGAAGCAGTTCGGGATGGATTGGAGGCGGAGAAAACGGCGTCGCACAGTGAGCA